CCTATTTAATGAATTCTTTTTGCCAGTTTTTCCAAACATACATTGCGGTCACCGACAAAAAGGACGTCAATCTTATCTGATTTAATATGTTATATTAAATTTTTGAAAATGTTAGAACTATATTTATTTATCATGATTTTTCGTTATTTACAATTTAATACATTAACGAAGTGATGCCAGGGAATGTATAAAATAACTAGTTAAAGTATAAATTATATACATTACCAACAAGCTTTAGTTATTTTATAAGTTACCTAATTATTTCATAAGCTAACTGATTTAACACTTTAACTGTAACATCCACATAGTGAAACCAATCATTTCATGAACTGAAGATTGTGAATTTTGACGAAAATACATTACACGGACAACCATTTCATGAAATAGATAATACCTATAATATTGTGTACTTTATGTAATTACTATAAAACAATTATTTTTGTTATTTACCAATTAATTGTATTATATTTTAATTTATTATTCATAAAAAATAAAAAATAAAAACAAAAATATAATATAATTATATATAATTGTCAGGGCTTGCAAACGTTATAATAACGTTATATTTGACAAAAAATGATTGAAATTTGTAAACGTAATTATAACGGAAAACGATAAACATAAATAATTAAATGTCACAAAACAAAACATAACGCAAAACGTTATATGTAATACATATATATCATTAAAAAAAAAAAAAAATAATAATAATAATAATAATAATTTCAATTATTTAATTAATAAATTATAAAATATAATAAAAATTGTAATTCTGAATAACGATAAACGCAAAAGTTGAATAACGTTTTAATTGTAAATAACGTATAACAAATTTTTTTTTTTCAAATGCAAGCCCTGATAATTGTATATCATATTTTATAAACGACAATGTTACGTATGAAGTATTATTTATAAAATAATATCTTTATTATTTATTTTTGCACAACGATTGATTATGATTTATAACATACGGCACAATACATCTTCAAAGTCAGAGAAGTATTGAGAGGTCTAAATAGGATGTTACGATCATGGGTGGCTGATAACAAAGCCAAAAAATAGAAAATAGGATTAAATTTTGTTTAATTCTCAAAAAAAAAAAATAGTCCATTTCACTAAACAATATATTGGACGTAGCCTTTATAAAGCTTTATTTGGAAATGACCCAAAAATTGGATTATATAATTACATCAAATTTATTGAAAAACGCTCAATTGCTTGCAGTATATTTTATAAATTTGAAGTGATAATGCTATTATATGCGATTCGATTATTCAAATAAGAAAAAACATAAAACGTGAAAACGAAAATCAGATTATAGATGCAGAGAAAATAATCAAAGCAGATAATGGAATACGGTAAAAATGTTCTTTTAGATCTTAATTAAAAATTATTTTTAATAAGGAAACAAAAAAGAGCAGACGATTTTGAAGTCAATCAATGCGTTGTATTCGGAGTACCTACTGAAAGTTAATAGGGGGACCTATAGATCTGTCAAACATAATTTTTGTGATCACGAAACAAAAGCAAACAGGAATGCGTAAGCTTGGAACAAGATATGGTTTACTTAAATGATGGTTCAGTATAATAAATATTTGAAAAAATCAACAACTCAAACCAATGATTAAGACGATAAAAATATTGAATATTTTTAGTGCCTGAAATTATTACGAAAAATTCGGAAGGCAAGGACTTTTGTCTAATTCGTGTAAAGGCAAAACCTCTTTGCCAATCAAGTCGGAGTGCACGTTTTAAAAATAATACGCTGTGTAATTAATGTAATAGTCGAAGTCATAATCATTTGTCGTGAAAAAATAAATAAATATGAGGATATTATATTATATCGTATAATTTATTACACTTTATAGGTAACGCTGCCATTTATAAAATATAATAATATATACGTACAATAATTATTATTAATAATTATACACTTTGTATTACAACGATATTATCTCATAATATTTTTTCATGAAAAACAAATTAAAATAATTTAATGTCGTGTAATAATTATTGGGCAACAACACAAAAAAAAAAAAAAAAATTGTTTTATAATGATCACACAAAGTGAACTTTGTACGTGCACAATAAAGATATCGTACCTACGTTTCATGAAATCGCGGATATCCGTGTAATGGGTTTTCGTCGAAATTCGCCACCTGGACGAATTTCGCGATCTGAATATCCAATTCATGAAATGAGTGGTTTCGCCACACGCGGATACAACATACGTAATATAATATATTATATTATGTGTAATTTTATCTGCGTGCTGCGTTAATGCAGTCGTTGCACGCGTGCAGGTTTGATACTGTCGAGACGACGTGCAATAAAAATAAATCATCAAAAAACATAGAGAAGTCGTATCTACGTATATATATATATATATATATATAGACTTTATACGGTAATTAATTTATTAAAAATTTAAAGTCGATTAATTAACGCGTCCGACGGTCTAATTTAAAATTAATCAATTAATTACAACGCGTTCGACGATCTAATTTAAAACCAATCGATTAGTAGCGCGTTCGACGGTCTAATTCACGATTAATCAATTAACGCATTCGACGGTCAGTCGGACGTATATATAGAGTGGTACGCGCGTTCTCATAATATTATGATATAGCTGGTGTACAATTATTTATTTCAGCGCCGTGGAAGTAATGCGCAAGCAGTCCGCACGGCGCCGTCGGTTCCAAACTGATAAAAAAAAAAAAAAAAAGAAAAAAGGTAGGTATACAATTATTTAGATCAGCAGTTCTTAACGGGGACGGTACCGTCCCCTTGGGGGCATTTCGGTCTCACTGGGGGGGGGCGGTAATTTTGAAGGGGGCGGTGAGCTTTTCCAAACTCGGAGATGAAAAATAATACAATTTATTATTATTATTATATAACAACATTACAAATAATTGAATGTGAAATCAGAATAGTTGTAATTGCGACAATTGCGTACGCTATGCAACGGCGTACGGCATGTTATCTAATCGCATTTTACGTTTATTAATTAAACTTTAATTAATAATGTTATAATATACTGATGAATAAATAAATATAAATATATATATATGTATAAGAAGAAAATTTGATTTTGCACGAGGGGGGGCGTTAACAATTAGTTATTGTGATAAAAAGAGGGGGCGTTGAACTAAAAAAGGTTAAGAACCACTGATTTAAATGTAGTACATTTCTATGCATAAACACTGATAATAAACAGATCACCGAAACTTTATAGCCTCTATTTAGTATTTGGTACACGGTAAGTAACAGGCCCTATTATTTGTAAAATTTCGGACTGTACACTTAATTTTACTGCTTTAAACAGAAATTTGACTCTCACTACTGTCTTGGAAAAAGAAATATATTATAAATATATATATATATGTGTGTGTATATAATAATTGAATATAACAACAAAATATTTTTGACCGATAACAATGTTTGAAAATTAATAGAAAGAAATTATAATTCAGTATAATTTAAATTTAAAATATTCAGGAAATACTCATATTTTCTAGTGGCTGGCATATTATTTAATTTTTGTTTTACAGACCGTAGTGCACACTCGTACATTCGTGGTGCACATAGTGTGTCGTAGTGCACATAAAAATAGGGCCTGGTAAGTAAGAAGGTACACTTTATTTACGTACAGTACAGGTGCATAAAATTGGTAATTCAATGCAAATCGTCTAATCCAATATAATAATATCATACGCTGCAGTCGGTTGTGTATACGCGTGTAACATATTATTCAGAATTTAAAATTTAAGCACCTATATAGTCTATATAGATATTAATTTTTTATAATTATTTTTATGGTTATTAAAAAAATATATATATTTGTTTCTATCTTAATTGTACACGAACCGAGATGATTCGATGTGTGGTTAAAATAAAAAAAATACGGAATTCTAGGTACGTATATACCTGCAGAGGAGGACAACAATAGTAGACGTCGTGATTAAGTATATTAAATCATTTGCAAATACAATATTAAACTCGCATAGCTTATATTATTATATCGATGTTGTGTACACATCAACCAGACTTGGGCCAAACGATTTGCTCGATCCACGGTATGTACTTGGACACTCTGGTGTATACGCCAGGCGAATTCTCCTCTGCACACTTCTTGCCGAACGACGTGACGCCTATTTGCTTATACATGCACGTGTAATCGCTGTGTGGTATCTGAATCGGACCGCCGGAATCGCCCTGTGCGACGAGTTCAAGAAAAATATTTAAAACAGACGCCTTTGAACTCGATAAAAGACTTTTCACACGTATGATGTCGTTTGAATTTCACGTTTGGAAAATTATTTAATGATTTCTCGTGTTTAGCCCCAGGTAATAGCCATCTGCAAGTATGTGTAGGTGATGGTACAGCACATTTGTCGTTATTCTTACACCACATAATAAAGTGATATATCCGATCCCTCTCGTCGTTTTTTCGATAAACCAAAATAAATAAAACAATCGCGGTGAAACAGGAGACGATAATATAATTATAATATACATACAATATAGAAAGACTTATCGTTTGCTTTGAAATTTAATATCAAATAAAATAAGGAATCGGACGATAGACCGTGCGATAAATGTTACGTTTTATCATTTAATTTATTAGATCGACGTGGGACAATTTAATATTTAATACGATATTAAATTACGACAAACACCGAATTAATGAAATGTGTAGTGTTACACGATACGTGAGTGCTGTATACGTTATGCGTGTGTAAAGTGTACAGACGTTGCGTGAACAGAGAACACGCGTAACTTACCCCGCAAGTGTCTTTTTCACCACGAGCATAGCCCGCGCATATCTGGCTGTCATCGAGTATTCCATTTGGCAATTGAGATTTCGCTGACGACGCATAATTAGATTTGCACTGACTCGCCGGAATAACCTCCAAATCGACTTTTAACAGATCTGGACTGACTGGTCCCTCTGTAACACGGTTTACTGGTAATTTACTTGACACTGATTATAAAAACGTATCAGGACGCGACTCGGGACTACATTTATGGTTTTAGCGATTTATAGGATCATAAATATGTCCCTACTACCAAATCTCAACACTATAGGGATCTACCTCGTTTTAAACATTGAAATTTGAGAAGAACATACCTAAAAACTTCAAAACGTTCACAATTTCATTTTATTTTTTTTGTTTTTTCGAAAAATTATACGTTTTATAATTTATAACGACAAAAAGATTTTTCATAATATATGTTTATCGATATATACGTATACTTCTCACACTTTTGCTTAACCCTACGCTCAAGTCCTATGAAATACGGTCATTGGTAAATAAAATTTAAAGCCAAGAAATATAAACCAACTGTGTAGTATCTGTCCCCAACCAGTTGCTACCACCTTCTGCGGAGCAGTAAGTTTCAAATTAGGATCTGCGTTCAGACAAATGGGCCGTACGTATGCCGAAAACGTTACATCCTCCTCCAAACGAAACAACGCTATATCGTTGTACAATAACGGAGGTTTATAGTTCGGGTGAACTACGCGTTGTACGATTTTGTAATCCTTTGGTCTGGCATCATCGGTATCCTTCAGATAGTTCAACTCTCCCAAGCGTGCCCATTGCACAAACAACCTGAAACAGGTAATGATAAATTTCAAAGTTTTCACAACAGAGCGAATTTATCAAAATTAATCATTTTTATAGTTTATATATCTGCCTGAATATAAACCTATACTATCCTAGAAGATTGACAGACGTAAGCGCATGACAAAATAATTGAAATTGTAAAAAACCCAATTTTCTTAAACTAAATAACAATATTTTAGATATATCATCAACATGTTAAGATAGTTCACTTAGCGAACGATCGTGCTAAATTACTGGTTCCTATTCGTATTTTAATGCGAGTACAGCACAATAAGCTTTCACCTATATAAAATCTTAAAAAGAAATTAATAACCTTTATATTTTTAATATTTATTAATTATTAGTGCCTAATACCTACGGATACGTATATACTAAATACTCATATTATAATATGTTTTAATATTTAATCATATAAATTTACTTGAATACTTACGAATATCGGTATAGACAATTATTTATTTATTTATTTATTTATTTAATCAAGGTACCTATTAAAATATTCACAATTTGCATATATGGTAAAGGTAATTTTTACCTATTACCTAGTTCAATAGGTATATCTACTAGGAACTATTAACGAATAGACGGGCAGACACAACGGAAAATTAAGATGTTTTAAACCAATGTTTAGAAACCTCTAACACTGTGTTTCTATTTATCAACGTTTTTCTATTAATAATATCATACTAACGAATTTTCAATTTTATCACAGTGCGCTGCGGACAGAACCCATCTATTGCTGATCAATGATCCACCGCAGGCCCATGCATTGTCTTTGGGATTTTTGGTATAACCCAACAAAGCCTATAAAACAATCGAATAAATGTGAAATCTATTAATACATATATTTATAATTTGATATATTGTATAGATCTTATTATTATTCTACATTACCATGTGCGGAAATTCTTTTGAATCAGCCAACGTTCCGTTAGTGATTAAAGGTACGACAATGCGACAATCTTTAAATTTGATAAAATGATCTTCTTGGCTCGGCAGTAATATTGGATCCTTTATTTTAACGTAAATCAACTCTGAATACTTTTCGCACACTTTTTCAAAATTAAAGCAAATAACAATTATATATTATTATTATAATAAATAAAACGATTTTTTTTTTTTTTTTGAATAGCTATTGGTGACAAATGAATTATAATTATATACAAACGCTTACTTTCAGCGGACGAATATGTTTCTATGCTTGTGGATTTGTTAACTGTCGGAACACTAGTGGTACTAGCCACTTTATCTGTAAGCGGAAAATAAGCAATAAAAATCTACTATAGTTAAATGAGCGAAATCACATTAACAAAACATTTTTTTTTTTCACTCACTCGCCTTCTCTCTATTCTGTATACGCATTAGATATAGATAATAATAACAATGGATATCAATAATTATTTTATTTTATAATATTAAAAACTCGAATTTATAATGACTTTAATTTAGTTAATACATACAACTGTAAAAACAATTTACTTTGCAAAACCTAAGAAAATGTTGCTGTATATCAGGGATGGGCAACTCACAGTTACTATAGGGCCAATTTTTAGAAATTTAAAATATAGCGGGCCAGAGCATAGAAAGCAAAAAAAAAAAAAAAAGGTTATATTCTTTTAAGACCGCAATAACGCTTAAACAAACTAGACATTGAGGTTTTTTTTGTTTGTTAATAATAAATAAATATTCATTCTCCCATGAGGTATTAAAAGTTCTATTTTCATCATCAATTTTACGCTTTTTTGCGGACATTATTAGGCACTACAAAAAACGAAAACAATAAATTCAACGACAGCACGACACGAACGATACGAAGAAACTGATATAATTAAATAGATCGGTACAAACAGCTATGGTTAAAATCTATACGTATCCATACGTGTGTATATACCTACTATAACTATATTGTGACATTTATACATTTAACAATGTTCAATACCAGATAACAATTATTATATCGATAAGATAGACTAGATAGAGTATACACTATACTAGACATTATAGATTATAGAGTATAGACGATAAAGTTTAAAATTGTATACCTATACCTAATGCAATTTGAAAATGTAGCGCGGGCCAGATAAAAAAGGCTCGCGGGCCGCCAGTTGCCCACCCCTGCTGTATATGATGTATAAAAATAATATTTAAATCTTTTATCGTGACTTTTGTCTTTTACATTATTAGAAAAACATCAAATACAATATGAAATAAATGAAAAAAACGTATAATTATACGAATGTATATTTAATTATGTGTAAGTATTAATATCATAAGTCAAAGCACTTTAATAATATAATATTATAATATATATATTATATACAATGCAATACCCGTATGATCATATTCATAGGCGTAGGGTAGTAAGATTTTTTAGGGGGGCTGTAGTCTTCCTAGGGGTAGACATGTACCAACTCACAGAGGACTTCGTCTGCATTTTGGAGGGGGGGACTATTTTCCAAACTGGAGACATCAATTTTAAATATACCGTTAAAATTTATATTTTAAAATGATTACGTGACAATATAACCGATTTTATTTGTCATTAATACCTCGAATCACTAGTCTCGTATCACTCCAAGTCTCCAAAATACGCATAAGTTTATAGCCCTAAATAACAGTCGACAAGTTAGTGTTATGACTTATGACGATAACTGGCAAGGAATAACGACGCGTTTTCAACAATAAAATTCACCTTAAAAATTACCATTTTTTTTGTTGTGCGACGGGATCGCACAATATGATTTATATCGCATTGCCTCGTATTGGTAGGTAAACCACGTGAAAAATATTCCTTCCACATTACACTTCTAATCGTTATAAAAAATATGTTTATCATAACACCGAGCGTCCGTAACACAAACTAGCTGTTTAAACGTTTTCAAGGCAACAACACTAGTTTTTAGTTTTTATATTACTATTATGTGTATGTCGTCAAGCATATATTTCGCCTGTGGTAATACGCGAGTACAAAAATATAATAATACATTTAGCTTTTTAATATTTAATAATTTGCTCGTCAATTTTTAATTATTTCGCCGTCGACCATGGCTGCAAATCTCGAAAAACCATTCGATTATCATTATTTTTACGGCTGTCTGCTTCAGCTGTTACTGTTTTACTACGACATTAGCAAAACCGTCGTATTCTGGATGAACGTTGTCTTGATCTTGTCCACCGCGATTACCGGTAATCACTAATCTGTAGCTCTAGATTACCACTGCAGGATCACCCCCAGCGATAAAAGTGGTAAAACTAAAACCGCACTTAAGTCTCCTGTAGTGACTAATTCCGGTTGGGGGCCACGGTGGCAAAGAGGCTTTGATCTTCGATAATTTATAAAAAAAAACTTCATTGTTTCAAGGCCGGGCTGTTCTACTAACGTGTGAGAACCTCGTAAATGACTTCTATGACGACTGTACAATGTATACGTGTTATAGTACCTAAATTATATTTCAGAAAGGAGGGCGAGAAGCAAATCCCATCACCGATCATCGCCCCAACGTCACTTTTCAAACGATAAATCCTCTCTGCAGTGATAGTTTTAATATGATGTACTCTAAATAAGTCATAACACGTTGCGCAGACGTTTGTCCTCATCCTGCCATCCGTAAAAACCCCGAACTTTTGATCTATCAACGATAAAAATAATCCACGTGATTTATCTTTAATGTATACGCATAGGCACTATGAGAATAGACTTTTATTTTTAGAAAGAATATTATGTATAGTTTTATTGAACTAAAATAATAATAAAAAAAAGAATTGCAGTTATTTATTTATTCGAGAAAAACAATTTTTTAGGCAATTTCGGTCAGTTGTGTTTCGCTGTGACTCAGCACATTGAAATGGCGGTCCAACTAATCTGTTCGGTGTTCCGGACGAAACCATTGGACGCGAAATACTTCCAAATCGATACGACTTCAATGCGCCAACAGCGCCTACGTGCCAAACTTCTAATCGACCTTTTCGAACGGAAGAAACGCATAATGATCGAAAAGGAGACACAGAAAGAACGAGACCGACAATCGATTTACGGTAATATTTTCGGCAGTGCATCATCGTAATTTACGGTGTAAATGGAAATCGACGATTAGAAATCCGATGACAATTATTTATTATAATATGTGTATTTTGATTTGTTATAATTTATAGATGAAATACTAGCTATAAGGTTATAACTTGATAATTTTATTGACTGGTTAACAGCATACACTTTTCTATAAGCGTGCAGGGTATACTTGTACCGGTACGTTATGATTAGGATATCTAGTCAAATTTTTAGGACGCTTAAAATTCTTCATCTTAAGTTAAAAATTTAGAAGTGTAGAGTTCAATGATAAAGTTGTTAATTAACTTTTTTTTATGTATATTAATATTTTTCTTGTCATTTCAACAACAATGAATTTATCTTTTGCTCTGTAGACAATTAGGTACATTGCAATTTATTGTATAGTATTGCAATGGTAATGACGTTGAAAAAATATTGGTTAACCTTCCCATCTTGCAGGTTTTATTTTGTAGCTAGTAAACGACTAACGCTTTACCTGATTGCGTTTTCAGATAAATTGGCGGAAATGTTAGATTTTGTACTGAACACGAAATCTCGCCATCAGCGGCGAGACTACGGTTACCGCGAAGAAACGGGTTCAGTGCCGTACACAAAATCAAGTACTAGAGATTTAAGATCGTTCCGAAAATTAAACACATCCATAATTGACGTCGAGACGTCGGAAACGTCGACGCAGCAATTAATTTGCCAAAGATGCGGGCTTCAGATTGACCTATGTAATACCACTGAACCAGCGTTGTAAAAAAAGACAATATAACAATATCATTTGTCTTGTTTTGTTGCATCCAAACTGTCCACTGATTAAATATTCTCATGATGATAATTATTTCAAATTTTAATATTATTATTATTACCTATTGCATATGAAAGATTTTTTTTGTATACCTATCTATTTATCTCAATAATTTGTGTGTTTCCTAATGATTTCAAGTATAATAAATAGAGCTAGAATTTAGATGATTTTTGCATTTTTTTTTTTCTTTAAGTGTTATACAGTTCCAACCAACAACTAAATTTGTTTCGTTGTAGGTATAACAATTAAGAATGTGTAATTTTTATTTTGCATTCTTTGCATTTTTTGTGTTTAAATATCTATATTTTATTGCGTTTTAAACTTTTTAAGGTAATTTTTACAAATATTACGTTAATTTTGTGTATTTTAACTCGTTTTTGTTTATTTTAAGCTTTTTTTAATATCTATGTGTTGTATAGGTAATCTCAATTACTTATACCAGTCCATTGACATTGAAAAAATAGTACAATTGATTGTCAACTTAAATTTAAATATATTTTCTTAATTTATTTCTTAAAATTAAATTTTTTTCACTCATCTAAGTACATTTTTTAAAGTTTTTTGGTTATTTTTGCATTATTTTTTTTTTTTTTTTTAGTGCATTTTTGTGTATTTTCTAGGTCATTAAAATCTTACCTCTAATAATAATTAATAGGTACCCGAGTAAATGTATATATGTATATTATAATATACTCGATTTATGATAAAACAAAAATATTTTGTATACGTATTTAACTGCGCATTTTCATTCTTTACGAGGATATTGTTAGAGAATTTATCAATTATATGAAGTATTAAAATAAAATCGTGAGCTTACCAATATTTTGAGGAGTACAACATCCCAAACGCGTGATACATAAAATAAACAGCATGAATATACACTGTGAATTTCTAAAACTCATCATTTTGCACTAAACGATTAGAAATAATATCTATTAACAACTACAATACCTAGCTGATAACGTTTTAAACTTGTGAGAGAGTATTAGTCAACGTCAGGTTTACGTTTAAGGAACGCGCAAATTGCAACTACTCAACACCAAGATTCTCGTTTTAATCAACGTAGCCACGAGCATAACTAATTAACATAACTACAAATTCAGAATTCACATTTATACATACAATACTATAGTCTGGTTTAAAATCTCAGTTCCCACTTATATTCCACTGTACGTGACCTTCTCAGTCTGCATAGGTGGTTAAGCATAATATTATATTGTAAACAATTCAATTAAATGTTGTACAGTAGAGTGGAAATATAAAATCATTATTCTTTGCTGGTCATCTCTTATTCGCCCGTTATTATTAATAAATGATTAATGTATTATTGTATTACAATAAAAAATTATTAGTACATTGCAACACCCTTTGATAGTTTTACAAAAGCATAACAATTATAATAGGTAAGCTATTATAGTCTTAAATAGAAACACAAACATTTTAATATTGAACAATAAAAATAATAAAAAATTATCTATAATAAAAATAATTACACTATGTAGGTACTTGTGTAAAAGTAATAAGTATAACACACGATACGCCTCTATCTGGGAAAATAAAGGGACGATAAAATATAGGGGTAAAACACGATTGCGTACGATTTTACCTGATTTTTTTACACCATTGTGTTCACAATATTAAGCTTTATTAATAATTGTATTTATTTATTAATTATTTTAGGTACTATTATTTAGTTATTCCCATTAGCATTGATTATAGAATATACTATAGTATATTATAGTATATTCTATAATCAATGCCATTAGGTATACTTTGTTATTTTATATTGATTATTATAGAAGTATATTGTAAAATTATTAAATTTGACAACATTTGACAACCCATCCACAAACATACGCAATCGTGTTTCACCTAAATATAAAGGAACTAGGGATTAAAATCTTGTGACTTGTACGTTTAAAAATAATAACACTTGTACCTGCTTAAAATAATAAAATGTGCCATGCAATAAGTCATTTAAAAATTTTAATTTAACATTAAGTAGTGTCAAAAGAAATATTCAAATAAATATATAGCCTTTTTTATAAATCGATAAATTAATTATAATAATTATATCGATATAGATAACTAGGTAGGTACCTATTTCACAATATTTTGAACCCTTCTTTGGCTTCTTCGTGACTACACTTTATCCAATTCATCCTATGTCAAAGTCATAAAAGTTCAATGTATGCAACTTTTTAAGTTGTGGGTATAACGTGTCACCAATATATTGGTACAAACACTGAAACACATCTAAAGTTTATTGTTTAAATAAATACTCGCCAACAAGCACACCGAAAAACATATACCTATAACAATAGGGCAAAAATCAATATTGTTTATATAAATACAATTATATTTTATCATGAGTTACAACGATATTATTATAGCCTTATAGGTAATAAATAATAATAATATTTAAATTTTAATACTCATAATGTTTCAACTCACAACACTATAGCTCGAAACATTCCTTTGATGATAATCAGATATTCAGTGGTCAATTGCACATAACACCTATCTATTTTTGGATAAAATACTACGTTACCTATGATTCAAATACATTTCAGCTGACATATTTTCGTATATTTTATAGCTCTCTCCCGTATTCCTATACTACATAGTCTACATATAATATAAATATAATCGCTTGATGTCTTGATGTCGCTAAGTCATTAACTATGTAATGCGTAGTGCGTAGATATACATACAAAAACAACGATTTTCCATTTAGTTTAACTTGGCATTCACCTACTGTAAGTTAGGACTTGAAAAAAAAAAACCAGTAAAAATTATATTGCATTGAATAAAAAAATAAAATAATACAGAGCAAGATACAGAATGGGATTACGATATTATTTTCAATATAATACTTATCAGACCATTGTGTTATTTTTTTCATATCTTAACGCTTAGTTTCGAGATAAACTGGACCGATGATTTATAAACAAATTGGCAACTACCTACACATCACGAGTTAAAAATAATAACTAAGGTAATAAACTAGGTATTATACTATTATAGTAATTAGTAGGTAACGAGCGCTTGATTTGGCACCAGTTGAGTGGAGAGCACTTGTGACTTGTGAGGGACGGTAACAACAAAAAATGCATCTACCGTCGTGCATTTAAAATTTTCGACAAGAGAAGAAACCCACCCACAACAACCTACCTAGCAAGAAAACATTGATGAAATTAATCCGATAAAAGTAAGACAGGGGAAGTCGCTCTGCTATGTAGAAGGGCATAATATATTATGATAAACGTACATTTGTATGCTTGACCTATGGGCAGATTTCGAGTATATACGGACTGTAGTCGAAGATAGAAGATTTTTATTATGCCTAAGATTTTAAATTTGAGTTAATTTCACAATGTTGTAGTCTTCTAAAATATTATCATATAAAATATCATTGATAATTTTAACTGTACAATTTTTAAGTATATATATAAATCAATAAATCTTATTATAATCGTCAAAAAACTTAAAAAGAAGTAAAAAAACATTAATAAATGTACGAATCAATCAATAAGGTTAAAAATAAATGGTTACAACAAAAGAAAAAAAACAGTATTAAATGTTACTTTTGCCTATATTATGATGAAAGGCTAATATATAAATTTATTTTCATTAATTATATATATATATATTAATTTTTTTAATATTCATTTATTATAATTGAAATAATATATATGAATCAAAAATATATGAATAACATATAATGTAATATTATGAGTTTGATATAATTCCACAAATCACAAAAAAAAAAAAAAAAAAACAGAATAAAATTAGATTGATCTTACAAGATAAAACATTCAATAACTAATGATTTTATATATATTGTTGTTTACAATTAATTCTTAAAAATATTATGGAAAATTTAGTTTGATGAATATATATTAATGTTTTTTTTTTTTTTTTTGTTTTAATATTTTTAATTCAGTTACACTGCATGGTAAGATTATAATTTATTTTTGAAGAAATATAATATATTTTATTCTTAATACCCTCTATAATTCATTAGTTTATAAATTTTGTAATTAGTTAAGTACTAAGGTGAGCACAGATGAGTGAGCGATCGGATGTTGCTTATATACTTAATATAACTCAAATAAAAGAAGTTACAAAATCAAATAATTGAAAGCATAATCAAAATGATAAAATATTAGTAATAAATATTGAGAGCAAACATCATACTTTACTTTATATAACTAATATGATAAATCATGGCCCTAGATTTGATTATTAAAATCATGTAACCTACATTTTTAAATATTTTTATCCTAATAAGCACAAAAATACAAATTATGTAAAAATCATATTTGTTCATATATTTTATCTAAAATATTTAATTTCAGTATTTTAGTTTAAAGTTACACACAATACCTATTAATGTCTATAATAAATTGACAAAAATTAAACACAAAAAAGTGTATATATATATACTAAAATAAATAATAATATAATTATTTATTTTAAAAATATAATGCACTAGTACTAAAAAATTGATTGATTAGATTAAGAGCGAATGTTTTTTTTGACAAAATTAACTACGGCAATGGCAACACAGAAAATATATTACACAATTAGCTACGTTTGTGCTGCCATCAGTCGTGTAAATAGCCTAGAGATCTCATATATTGTTTATGTAAGTAGTCCTGAATAGGGGAGGAATGAAAGGCAAACAAAAACTTTTCTTAGCAAATTAAATTATCTAAGTAAGTCTTTGTTTTTTTTTTTTTTAATTTAATTTAAGCCTTAAACATAAGCTAGTCTATGATGTTAATAATACTTGAACGTGTTGAGTACATAAAAAAACAGTCTTATTATAATATTCAGCTTATGCTTATACAGTGTATCGGACTTAATGCGCGCACAGTTAAATTAAAATAAGAAATTAAAATCAACATAATAATAATAATTAAAAATAAAAGAAAAAGACAAATGTGAGTAAACGCAATATTAATGATAATAATATATAAATATAATTCACAAAAATTAGCTAGGTGAACAAAAAAAAAAAAAAAAAATTAAAAAAAATTAACTAACACATTTGAAAAATTTGTTATTTTATAGGTTTAGGTCAACGCAGTACCAACAAAGAAAATCATTAGACTTTCATTTTGTTTAAACTGTGTAAAATTGTTTAAAAATAGTAAAATAAGAAAAATAAATATCTAAAATCGCTATATATTATCGTTGTTTAGGGTGAAACGTGGCTCTCGGAGAATATAACTACTTCAGAACACCAATGTCATGTAGTGGGCAGCATATTTGTTATCATTGTCCATAGTTCTTTTTTACATGATTTAGATCTAAAATTAAAAAAAGAAAATCATAAGCTAAGTGTAAAATACCATTTAAATGACAGAACTACCAATTTAAATATTGTTCACCTTCTAACAGACTGCAACCAGTCCTTGAACATCGTACCGCCTTCTGGTGTCATCGCAAATGCACCATAAGCAGAGTAAAGTATTCCGACATACTCTTCGTAGTCTGCTGATGACAACTGATATAACTTTTGATGTAACAGTTGAATATACCTGTGTGTAAGTAATAAATAGTTAATAACTAGTTAGTTTAAACAGCATATTATTTATATAAAATATATAATACTGTAATAATAACACATACATAGAATGACATTTTTCCACCAAGGGACTCAAGGTTGGGCACATGGTAGGATTGGGATTAAAATGTCCCATGTACATAACAGCTTCCATTGCAACATCATGAAGTGTGAAAGGATTCACAACGCTATTGGTGACAGCCAAACAAAACTGTTGAGTGTAATTAGGTCCTAAAAAAAATAATCAAGTATAAAAATTATATAAATTTTAACAATTATTTATATATATAATACATATATGTATATTGACCACCAAACTTTTTATTATTTTTTTGTATATATTTTTAATTTATAATACATACCTAATTTTTTCGACAGACGCAACAACCATTGTATATCTTCTCTGAAAGGTGGATTTCTAGAGTACTTTGCCTGATTAGGTTCATGAACACGTCTAGCCAGCGTG